CCCCACCCTCAAAGACAGACAAAAAAGGTTTTTGCACGTACCACTTTTCCACGACACCACACAGCCAGCCTGAATGCATTTTAGATGCATCCTGAAGCGAAATCAGTTTAGTTGCAAAACTCATTGACAACCAATGGCCATTTTTTTCAATTTCCATTAGTCTAACTACAATACTGAAGATATAAACCTTGTGGATCCTTGAGCTGTTAATGAGCTTTGAAGTATTAAAATAATTTACATAGTGAGAAACTTGTTCTTAATCAAGTGGCCAATTTAGACATGACCTTTGCCAGTACTGAGTCAGGATGAGCTCACAACCAATCATCCGTAACTACAACGACAAGATCCAAACAAGACATTACAGTTTTTTCTGATTTCTTAAGCACATTTTTTGTAACTATTGGCTAATTTTGCAAAACTCTTCACACAAATAAGAAAACCTGTCACCTAATAATCAAAACATTGTAGTTCTCTTGCAAAAGCAAACACAGCAAGATTAACTCTTCACACCTTCGTAAAATGGTGTTTCCGTATCAACAGTACACACAAGCCATCATCTACTAAGCACACAATGCGCCAACTGCACACTGATGGTATGAATACAAAACACATCTGGCTTTTGCTTCCTCTGTGCACAAGGTAGGCTATGTCAGTTTGAGCTCATACTTCTGTCATAGATCCATAAGCATAGAGGGATCCAAACTTCAAGTACTGGTGTTTATTCAAACACATCAAAACAAACACAAGTGTTTATTTCCAAGTATAGGATTATTTGCAATCGCCATAATGACTATATGGGTTACTTGGTCTGCAGTGAACATGCTTCCTCTGCCCCCAGCATCTGGTCATCGAGCAATTCTGTAAAGTAACAATTTCAGTATTTGTACATCAATGGTATTGGTGTGTTTCTCATTGGCATATGGCAGTGCTACAAATCTTTGTGCGAAGTGACTGTGCTAACCGATTCTCATTTCAAGATGTCCTTATGGTACTTGCTACAGTGTAGCGGCTCGAGTTAGGCTGGACCCGTTGGCCAGCTACCCTCAGGGTCATTCCATAGTTGATTACATGGTCCACTATTGTAGCTCTGATGTAATCAGCAATTCTATTTCTTACTCTTCCTACCCTTCCTCTCCCCCCTCCTCATCTTCCTCTCCCCCCTCCTCGTCTTCCTCTTGCTCCTCCTTGTCCTTGTCGTCCTCTTCGTCCTACTTCTTCACCTCCACGTCCTCTTCCTCGGCCTCCTCTACTTCTCACTCTTTCTGCTCCCTCCATTGTACTCCGCACACACAGCTTACCTGTATTATAGTGCTTAGGCTGATTGCAAAGTGAACTAATTATCTAAAAAAGTTTTGACATGTGAAAGTGTGCCAGACAGTTGGCAAATTAGTGTTAATGATAGCCATACATGTGTATACTTTTGCTAGGAGTGTGTTGGAAATTTGGTAATTGAGTGTTGTGCAGTGAATTGTGCCTACAGTTTTGCAAAGTGTGTGTTACAAAATTGCAAACTGAGTGCAAAGCAGTTTTTGTGCTTTTAGTTTTGCAAACTCAGTGAGTGGTTTTGCTATAAGTCTGAATAGTTTTAGAGATTGTGCTACAGGAATCACAGTTAGGGTTTAAGCATTCAGAAAAAACTGTAAATTATGTTACTAAAAATTCTGAAATAATTTGTGGGTATTACAGTTTTTTCTGAATGCTTAAACCCTAACTGTGATTCCTGTAGCACAATCTCTAAAACTATTGATACTTATAGCAAAACCACTCACTGAGTGTGCAAAACTAAGAGCACAAACACTGCTTTGCACTCAGTTTGCAATTTTGTAACACACACTTTGCAAACCTGTAGCTACAATTCACTGCACAACACTCAATTACCAAATGATCAATGCACTCCTAGCAAAAGTATACACATGTATGGCTATCATTAACACTATTTTGCCAACTGTCTGGCACACTTTCACATGTCAAAACTTTTTTAGATAATTAGTTCACTTTGCAATCAGCCTAAGCACTATAATACAGGTAAGCTGTGTGTGCGGAGTACAATGGAGGGAGCAGAAAGAGTGAGAAGTAGAGGAGGCCGAGGAAGAGGACGTGGAGGTGAAGAAGTAGGATGAAGAGGACGACAAGGACAAGGAGGACCAAGACGAAGACGAGGAGGAGGGAGAGGAGGATGAGGAGGGGGGATAGGAAGGGTAAGAAGAGTAAGAAATAGAATTGCTGATGACATCAGAGCTACAATAGTGGACCATGTAATCAACCGTGGAATGACCCTGAGGGAAGCTGGCCAACGGGTCCAGCCTAACTCGAGCCGCTACACTGTAGCAAGTACCATAAGGACATCTTGAAATGAGAATCGGTTAGTCCAGTCACTTCGCACAAAGATTTGTAGCACTGCCATATGCCAATGAGAAACACACCAATACCATTGATGTAAAAATACTGAAATTGTTACTTTACAGAATTGCTAGATGACCAGATGCTGGGGGCAGAGGAAGCATGTTCACTGCAGACCAAGTAACCCATATAGTCATTATGGCGATTGCAAATAATCCTATACTTGGAAATGAACACTTGTGTTTGTTTTGATGTGTTTGAATAAACACCAGTACTTGAAGTTTGGATCCCTCTATGCTTATGGATCTATGACAGAAGTATGAGCTCAAACTGACATAGCCTACCTTGTGCACAGAGAAAGCAAAAGCCAGATGTGTTTTGTATTCATACCATCAGTGTGCAGTTGGCGCATTGTGTGCTTAGTAGATGATGGCTTGTGTGTACTGTTTGATACGGAAACACCATTTTTACGAAGGTGTGAAGAGTTAATCTAGCTGTGTTTGCTTTTGCAAGAGAACTACAATGTTTGATTATTAGGTGACAGGTTTTCTTATTTGTGAGTTTTGCAAAGTTAGCCAATAGTTACAATAAATGTGCTTAAGCAATCAGAAAAAACTGTAAATGAAATCAACCACAAAGAGAAACATCCTTTTTCATTATTTATTTCTCCACATGACACAGAAGTCGTTCGACACTTTACAAACATCCGTTTGTATTTTGATTTTAAAAAAAAGTTTATGTCAACAGTGTAAGAAATTACTGATAGTTACAGAGATTACCCCAAAACCATCAAAGACTGTGCTCTGAGGATATTTGTGCGTTTCCACTTGCAGTTAATGCAACACATTTGAAGAAAGGGAAACAACCATTTCATACAACCAAGGATGTCACGACTCTGAAACAGACTGAAATCATGTGACAAACATGTGCAGTAAGCCGTATCGTACCATTATACTCATGTAGAGCTGGAATGATGAAGGTTTTCCGGTAACCTAGAAATATATTAGAGACACTTAGTTTTGCTTTTGCTCATTTTAAAACAAAATATCAATCGGATTGTTTGGTGTAGTAAAAATATTTTTTTCTCTGTATTTTGTTAGAAATTTTCTTTTGAAAAACCTCGAGGCGTAAACCACCATTGCTGGTTTTCAGAGGACTGTGCCAACCCAAACAAACATCTGATGAAGCTGGTCCAGTAAATTGGTCTAAACGTAAAAATGCATTCAGGATTTATCTTCTTTGACATCCTCATTGGTCCCTTTAAACATCATTAATCAGATGCAGCAGCTGCAAATTATATATATATGTAAAAGAGACATCGATAGCAGCACCCACTTCCTATTTCTTCCCTTTGCTCCTCGATTTGGCTCATCGATGCACAAACACTGATCATCTCTTAACCATTTCAAACAAGACAGATTCTGGTTCTATATGTTAATTATGTTAATGGTTTTAAGACATGTAAAAATAAAGGAACCTTGAAATACAGCAGGAAAGAAAACAAGTAAACATTTGTGTGACTGGAGAAAAAAAAAAAGTTCTGTGTTACAGCAGCATGTTATAAACTTTAACTCCGTATTAAATCTAGTATTTAAACCTACTTGCACCCCTCGGGGGCAGGAAATGAGAAATGTATAGATTTCAGAAAAGATACATTTTTGTTTCTCTGACAGTTTGTAGGACAAAGAAGCAGCACACTGTCACAATCAGCAGGGCTGATTGTGTGTAGAGTGAAGGGTGGACCCAAATGCAGACGGAAACAAAAGGCAAAATGCAAGGCTAACAATAAACTAAACTGGGTGAGCTAAATTAACTTAAAAACCTACAACAGGAACATGGACTTGACGCGAGGAGACTTGACGCAACTTCTTGGCTTGCAAACAAAGCAGACGATCTGACAATGACACACTGAAAACACAGGACTTAAATACACAGGAGGTGATTAGGGGAAGTGGGAACACATGGAGGAACAGCTGACTGACATGAACCTAATGACAGGACGGGGGAAGTGAAACTAAATACAATGAACAAAGAACACACGACTCCTTCAAAATAAAACAGGAAACACTGAAACTAGACATGACAACACAAGCTTAACAGACCTAACACGTGATGAACGATACAAGAACTCAAACATAGAAACCAAGGAAACAATAATTAATAACTGCCTTTCCTTAACTAAAGCTAAATAGGAATGACACAAACTAATCACATATCTAAAATGAGACAAATACAAAATGAACTCAGAGCGCTGGGTCAGAGACCCAGCCTGTGACACACACTGAGTTATCGGCCCAGTACGGTGGCCAGCAGGGCCATTCGGATGTACATGCCATTCTCCGCCTGACGGAAATATGCCGCCCTCGGGTCTGTGTCCACCTCCACACTGAGAGAAATAAAGAGAAACAGATCATTAGTCCACTTAATCAACACAATAGCAAATAATGTAAGGTGGGTTAAAATAAAATTCAGTTCAAATTTAAGTTAGTTAAAAGAAATCGTACTGAAATTAGACATTGTACACAAAACGTTACATTTCTGCAGCCCATTTAAGGGCTCAAGCAACATTTAAACAACACAGCTGGAACTGATATTGTTGTCAGACATTTGACTGAGCGCGTCTCACCTGATTTCATTGACTCTGGGCAGCGGGTGCATCACCACCATCTTCTGTTTGGCTCCAGTCATGATGTGAGGAGTGAGGACGAACTGACCAAAACACTGAGAGAAACAACAGAGTCACAGTTAAAGATCAAAAATACTCCGGGATCATCCAGTCACATGAGACCTGAGCTGATTGGTTCTGTCTGCACCTATGAATGCTTAGCTAAAGGGTTCCACTTCCATATTTCCCCACACGCTTACATCTGTAGAGGGGTGAGGGAACGCCTTCTTTCTCGCATATCTTCTTGTTTTCTTAAGACAATTCTATTTAATAGTTTTGCCTCTAGAAATATTTCATTTGGAAAGAACTTTGTGACGAATAACTGAACAAATCAGCTGCTTTCCACTAAAGATGAACTCCAAATGCAGACAAACCCCAGCTTCACCAGATGGAGTCAGTGGAGTTTGCAGTCCAGAATAGTGGATTAGGGAAAATGTCACCATGAGACCAACTGAACGATATCAAAAACGATTACCGGGCCAGCATGAGGCAGGAAGCACCAGGCCTAACTACAGATGCGCTGTGAGTATATGCAAGTATCTGTGTCACAAAATAAAACCCGTCGGTGAAATGAAACTTACGGCTTTGTACTCCTCCTCAGATGCAAACCTCTCCTTCTGGATCCTCGTCATGTAGAGGACGTCGGTGTCAGGCAGAGCCTCCTCGATGCTGTCAAACTCCTCCTGCAAACAAACATGTTTTTTAAAAATTAGCAGTTTTTAGTACATATTTGTGAAAACTCCTCTTTGCTGTGTAACCATGTTTAGTCCTCACCTGTTTGATGCCCTTTGAGGCCACGTAGCTGACGATCTCTGCTGGCATGTGGAGGTTTTTGGGAGCCACGTAACGCAGAGTGATGCGGTACTGGGTCAGCAGTTTGGCGAGGGAATGAACCGTTCGGCCATGTTTCAGATCTCCAACCATCGTTATCTGACAGACGCCACAGTTTTAACATGTTTTCATGTAAAGTTTTATTCTGGCTGAAGATTAAATTAAAAAGGAATCATGTCGCTCACCGTCATGCCGTTGACCGTTCCCAGCTCCTCTCTGATGGTGAAGACGTCCAACAGGGCCTGAGTGGGATGCTCCCCGACACCGTCGCCAGCATTGATCAGCGGCTTACGGCACTGACGGGACGCGCTCTGAGAAGGAGGAGTCACGTGCGTAAGATATTAAAAACTCATCTTCAAACTAAACAAGCATCAAAAAACACACAACAGGGTGCTGCTGCAGTTACTTTCATGACCAATTAGTCTTTATTTTCTTTTACGTAAAGAAAACTTTTAATAAAAAAAAGTATCCATCTAAAATCCACCTCTACAGCTCCAGGTGTTGGGTGACGCAGCACGAGGACGTCAGCGTAGCCACTCATGATCTGGACAGAGTCCGCCAGCGATTCTCCCTTCAGCGAGGAGGAAGTGGCCTCGCTGGAATGGACGACGGAGCCGCCCAAACGCTGCATGGCCGCTGCGAAGGAACTGCTGGTGCGAGTGCTGACCTCATAGAATATGGAGGCCATTACTTTACCCTGAACAGGAAGGCATGAGGAATGAGGGATTACTTTAAGGTACCTCATCATTCTATAACTTTGGTCATGTTTGATACGAACATCCACCATTGTAACAGCACATAACTGAAATTAGTGAATAGTGCAGTAACATGAGGCACGTTTAGGAGATACCTTGAGTATTTCCAGGCTTCGTTCCTTCTGAACCATCAAACGTAAAGTGTGAGCAACATTGAACAGGTGTGAGATCTGAAACAAACGAAGGACACAAAAATAAACTTTTGTTCAGACCCGAGATCTTGTTTCAAACCTGTCAGCATTCCCAGAGTGTGTTTCATCTTCTTCGGCGTACCTGCTCCTTGCTGAACTGTCTGACAGACAAGATGTGCTGTCCCACCAGTGGGTGAAGCAGAGGAGACATCTGCAGGTGTGACACCTGACCAGGAGGCACCTGTCCTGACCCAGACTGTGGGGACAGCAGCCTGGACAGTGGGGGAGGATGGCTGTACCCGTCAACAGCAGCGGCTGGGGGGAGCATGACCATCTCTGTGGGGATAAGAGTCGCAGTGTATCAATGACTGGAACACAGCAAAGGTGTTTCACTGAGAATCAGCAGGAGAACATCAAACAACTTTAATTAAACTTGTTTTTATACGGCAATGAACAGTTTTGACATACTTGATTAATGGACATACCAGCTGAACATGTGAAATGATATGATAACATCTGCTTCATTTTTTAACCCCTCTTTCAACTTATTGATACCTTTTGCCTAAAGAAGGCTTTAAAAATCCCCTGTTAAGGCCAGTGTGGCGAGAATAAGGCACGGCGGGACCACGGAGTATCATTCGGAGCCATCTTTATTTACATCTCACCACTACACACCCAAACCCCTGAGTCCCCGTGTTTTTAACTAGGCGGGCGTGATTAAGGATGCCGTGCAGGTACGTCCGCCCTCCCTGCACGGCACCGCAGACCACGCCCCACCACAGCCAGGCAGGCTGATAATACACTGGTAGAAACATTGGGAGAAACCCTCGAGGTAAAACAAAAAACTGCTGTTCCAAAGCATTCTGGGAGCTGTAATACCTGGTGGCAGGCCGGGATCAGAGGCACGGTGGATGCGGGGCGGCAGCAGGTAGCGGCTTTCTCCACCAATGCGTCGTGGGCTCGCAGCTCGAGTCCGCACTCCATCCCGGGGTGGAGTTGGACGCTGACGCTCAGGAGTCTGATGGAGCAGAATTAATGTAAACAAAACACATGAAGTAATCCCCACATAGAGGAGTTCAAGAAACACTCAAAACAGTTCTAAGTACAGGCTTTAAATGTTTTTGTTTGTAATTAAACTCTGTTAGCTGTACGTTCACCAAATTCTGTGAACTTTTTAGATGTCATCTACGCTCATAAGAAAGAAGACCGGGGATATAAGCACCGGAAAAGAGCTTCCTCCAAACGGTGGCGTCTAAGACCTCTTTCTTAGGAATAAAGTGAGGAGCTGCTTTTCCTCCACATTTCAAAAGGAACAAGTTGATACCTGCTGTTTGCCTCCTACCAGACATTTCAGGCATGGAAGAAACACCAACTTTAATCACTGATCTGAACCTCTCGATTTTGCTTGCTGTGTCTTTTACAGCATTTTAAACTAATTACATCTAAGAAGTTCTTTTATTCAATTTGTTGAATGAAATTCTAGTGTTTTCTTTCAGTTACGTTTACTTAGCATCAACTAGCCGATATCTGCTGCTGTGTGCACGTTCTTCATGGCTATGGCTGCTAAAGAAGTGTGTTAGTGTTGGCAGATAACTTCACTCTCTTCTTAAATCTGGTCAATTTTGGCTCCAAAAATAATCATGGTGGTGGCCAAAACACCAATGTGATGTAATATTATTGTAGAGTCTTTATCTTACAACAGAAAGCATGGAAGGCAGCTGCATTATTACCGCATTCACTTTTATTACCATTGGAGTTTCTTTGACAGGTTCTATAGGATGGGTTGAAGAAGTGGGCCAAGTCTTCACATCCTCACCGTAACCTGGAGGCACGAGCACCTGAAGGAGACAGGACACGTACTTTATTAGATCAACTACATTTATTCTCTTTGTTTTCTTGTTCAAAAGCAAAATGCACGAATGCTGACCTGGCCGTCGATGTAGGCCACCTCTCCTCGCAGGACCACGCGGCGGACTTTACCTTTCACCTTCATACCTTCGAAAGGAGTCCACTTAGACTTAGTGAACTGCATGGCCTGAGGAATAACCCACTCCTGCTCCAGGTCCACCTGAAAGACACGTAATTGATAAATAATTAGGAACATATTTCATCAGAGTACAGATAGGCTGCTAATTACTGCATCAAAATAATGTCTCCTTAAAATGAATTCCCTTTAATTGTGTTTGTCTGTTTACCTCCACGTAGGTGTTTTCCTGAACGGGCAGGTTGAAGATCCTGCGTGGATTGTCATAAAGACGTCTGGTAATATCATCCAGAGTCAGACGTCCATCACTGACGGCGGTGAGCAGCAGAGGCAGCATTGTTTCCAGACCGGGGTAACCAGGAGGAGGACGCTCACTGTTCTTCTCGTCTACAGAGTGAGGAGCTAGCAAAACAAAACAAAAACCGTACAGTTCAGGAAGGTCGAAGACAAGTCTGTCTGCATGATCGGTGACAGAAAATGAATGCTCTCTGACCGTGGTCTGTAGCAAAGCAGTCGATAATGTCCAGATTTTCCCAGAGTGTCTCCATGTCCTCGCGTGTTCCCAGCATGGGTCGAACCTGCGCTCGACCGTCGCCGATCTGCGCCACATTGTCCTCACATAGGAAGAGGTGGTGAGGGGCGACCTCGCATGTGACCTGGATGCCCTTCTGCTTTGCAGCTCGGATTATCAGGATCTGAAAACCATTAAGAAGTATTAAAACTGTAGGAAAGAATCCAAAAAATTAAGATAAGATGCACTTTAACAGCCGAAGCATCAAACACCAAATAGCACCGAGGCTCCAACTGCTCAACCAGGTTCAAAGGTTCAGCAGCAACCAAGATGGCGGCGCGCAGACGCAGCGGCCCGGAGCTCCTACACTTTTGCACTTTTGGTGGTACTGTGTATTATTTCACACAGTCTGGGGTTACTTCAATACAACAGAGATGATCTACTACAACTAAGCCGTGGAGATCTTCAACTAACATCCGAGTATCTCATCCCCCCGGAGATCGTTAAGCAACCCCCGGGGCTACCCGCAACAGCAAGCCGCAGGAGGAGACGTTGCGAGCGGAGGCAGAAGAGAGGCAAGCGGGGAGGCCTGTGGGCACGGCTAAAGACTAGTCCGTTTAAACCACCACTCCCGATCATATTCCTCTCCAACGCCCGTTCAATCCGTTACAAACTGGATGAAATACGACTGCAGATCGCCACTCGACGGACTTTTAATAACTGTTCGTGCATGATTTTCACTGAAACCTGGCTGGACAGCGCCATTCCCGATGCGGCTATCGATCTAGCAGGCCGCACCGCCTATCGAGCCGACAGGTCTGCGGACTCGGGTAAGAAGACTGGCGGGGGGCTGTGCATCTATATTAACAACCTTTGGTGCACGAACGTCACGGTAACGGAAAAACTGTGCAGTACGGAGGTAGAACTGTTGGTGTTAAAGTGCCGTCCATTCTATCTCCCTCGGGAATTTTCTGCCGTTTACATCTGCGCTGTTTACATTCCACCAGATGCTAATGCTAAGCTAGCGTTAGCACAATTGAGCAGCAGCATCAATAACAGCCTGGTAGCACACCTGGACAGTGTCTTTATTGCGGCTGGGGATTTTAACCACGCGGACCTGAAATCTGTACTTCACAATTTCCACCGTAATGTGAAGTGTGTTACCAGAGGAGATAGAACGTTGGACCAGGTGTACACCAACATGGCGAATGCGTACAGAGCCCAGGCTTATCCCCACCTGGGTCAGACCATCTCTCCCTTCTGCTACACCCAATATACACACAAAAGATCAAGAGCACTGGGATTACAACCAAAACCGTGAGAACATGGCCGCAGGATGCTATTCCGATGCTTCAGGACTGTTTCCACTGCACAGACTGGGATGTATTCAAGGTGCAGGACACTGACAATCGTGTCGCATTGGACAGTTACACCTCCACTGTCTTGGACTACATCTGTTTCTGTGTGGACAATGTAACAACTTGGAAACGATTCCGTGTGTTCCCTAATAATCCACCCTGGATGACACACGGAGTTCAACAACTTATTCGAACAAGGAACAACGCTTTCAAATCCGGGGACCAGGAGGCATACAGTGCTGCCAGGGCCAACCTGAGAAGAGGCATCAAGACTGCCAAGCAGCAGCACAGGAGGCGTATCGAGGCCAGGTTTGAGAACAACACAAACCCAAGGCAGGTCTGGGAGGGCATCAGGGCTATCACGGACTACAAAAGAAGAACACCATCACCCTCAGCCGACAGTTCTACTCTGGCTGAGGATCTAAATCTCTTTTATGCCCGTTTTGACAGGGAGAACACCGACCCTGTCCTGTCCCCTCTCCCCTCAACCGACCCTGCTCCGGTCCTGAGCACTCATGAGCTGAGGCGTGTGTTCCGGAGCATTAACACCAGGAAGGCGGCCGGGCCGGATGGAGTGCTGGGCCGGGTGCTAAAAGACCTGGCGGACGTCTTCACCTCTATATATAACACCTCGTTGTCCTGTTCACTGGTACCATCCTGTTTCAAAGCAGCAACCATCGTTCCCATCCCAAAACAGTCAAATGTCACATGTCTGAACGATTTCAGACCTGTGGCACTCACCCCCATTCCCGCCAAATGCCTGGAGAGACTGGTCATTAAACACATCAGAGCTGCTTTTCCACCATCCCTGGACTCGCACCAGTTTGCATACAGGGAGAACCGGTCAACCGAGGATGCGATCGCCACAGTGCTGCACACATTACTGAAGCACTTGGAACACAGGAACACCTATGCACGGCTCCTCTTTGTAGACTACAGCTCGGCTTTTAATACCATCCGGCCATACAAACTACGTCCCAAACTCCACCAACTGGGACTTAACTCCTCTCTGTGCAACTGGATTGTGGACTTCCTCACTAACCGTAGACAGAGTGTCAGAGTGGGTAAGAACACCTCTTCCACCCTTGTGGTCAACACCGGTGCCCCTCAGGGGTGTGTTCTGAGCCCTCTGCTATACACTCTCTTCACCCATGACTGTATTTCCTCCTGCGCGTCCAATCTCATTGTTAAGTTTGCAGATGACACTACAGTGCTCGGACTTATATCCAACAATGATGAGACAAACTATAGGACAGAGGTGCAACAACTAGAGTCATGGTGCCACGACAATAATTTGGTCTTAAACACCAAAAAGACCAAGGAGATCATTGTAGATTTCCGGAAGAGGGGTCATAACAACCATCTGCCTCTCTTCATTGGCAGTGAGGCGGTGGAGAGGGTGAGCAGTTTTAAATTCTTGGGGGTAACTGTGACCGAGGACCTGTCCTGGGGCAACCATATCACCTCAGTTGTACGGAAGGCCCAACAGCGCCTCTACTACCTGAGGAGACTGCGGAGCGCACACATTCCCAGATCTCTGATGTTGAACTTCTACAACTGTGCCATCAGCAGCGTTCTGACGTATGGATTTCTAGTGTGGTTCCCCAGCTGCACCAAGGCCGATCAGCAAGCACTCCAGCGGGTGGTGAAGGAAGCTGGCAGAATTATTGGAACAAGTCTGCCAGAGATCAGTAATATCTTCCCCACTCGCTGTCTGAGGAGGGTGCACAGTATCCTGCGGGACCAACATCACCCTGCGCGCCACCTTTTCCATCTGCTGCCCTCAGGGAGAAGGTACAGGTCTATACAGGCCAGAACATCCAGACTGGCCAACAGCCTGTATCCACAGGCTGTGAGGCTCCTGAACTCTCTGCCCCCCTCTCACGGACAATAACCATATCCAACTTCTTAATAGCAAAGAACTGGTCTGCATTGGTGCATCATATCTTTATTCTCTTCCCCCTCCTGCCCCCCCCTCTTTCTTAAATAGATAACTATCATATCTGATATCATATCTCACAGTACAATAATATTGAATGGGTTGCATTGTTGTATTTTGTCATGTTTCTCAGGTCTTTGTCTGAATTTCTATGAACATTATTGCTAAGGATTGTCTTATTGCATTGGAGTCACACTGGGTTAAATATGTACACTTGGGTTTTAAGGGGTATTTATTATTTTCTTCTTTTTTTTGGGTTGTATGGAAGCCCCAAACGCAATTTCATTGTTCTTGACAATGACAATAAATAAATAAATACTAAATACTCAACCAGACCACCGACAGGTCTCGCACGCCACAGCCGCTCTATCACGTGACGCATGCTGCTCCGACGTGCTAAGGTTATGAGCTGAGTTATGCCATGTCGCAAGTTTTGTTAAATGATTTTGTGATATTTAATGGATCTGATTACATTTTTTATTTCTCTTCGATATCCGATCCAGTAATTTAGGTCAGTGTCGGACCGATGCGTAATATCAGATCGGTCCATCTCTAATTCGTGGTAATCAGTGAAATTCGTATTGGAGACAACTTGGTGTGGTCCACCAAACTCCAGTAACTGGAGCAATCTGCTAGCAACCAAAGCGAGCACAAGAAGGTTTTCGGTGCAGTGCTATGTTTGTGACCAGTTTCACCTAGTAACATCCAAGTGGTTAAGGAACCCACATTTGTCACTAACAACTGGAGGTTGCCAGGGGATCACCAACCGGTCTCTAGTGTGATTGCGGTGTCAGTGATTAAACATCGGCAACAAAAAGTGAAATAACATCCCACAGACAGCCTGTCAAGTGCTGACTTCCCTGTGCCAAATATTTTGTTGTTTTAATTTATTTATCACAATTATTATTTATTTGTTAGTGATATTAAAGTGATTTATGTCTATATACTCCCGAAGGAAAAACAAGTCACTATAAAGATATAAATGTAAAAAACAATATACATGTATATTTGTATATGTATATACCAAGATACCAAGTTATATACCAAACATTTTTGCTACTCCAAACAAAGTACATTTGACCAAAAAGTCCTAATTAAATAGAAGTAATTAGAAACCTGAGATAAAGTTTAAAGTATAGATTTGACTTTAGGTCAGTATAAGTTTAAGTGGGGCGTGTAGGAGTGAAAGTTCTCCATGTACTGTATGTGTAAATCTATAAGGCCGATAGGTGATGTAACAGCCCAGCTAGCATTTCTCCAGCAGCTACACTCATCCACTTACCCGCTCATTTCACACAGCAGCGTCCTCCCCCTCCTCACCCTTCCCTCGGTCACCACGCCTGTGTTTTCTGGCTGGCCAATGCACTGACCTACTTTTGCTGTTGTCGTTTCACATACGCACGGTCACATATACGCTCTTCTTGCTGCCACATACCTTGCTGTTTCTCGTCCGTTAGAAATGAAATCACTGGAACTCAAGAATAAATTTTAACACCAGGCTGCGCAAAAGGTTAAAAGAGAAGAATCTTAATTTATTTATTTTCTTTTGATTTTTGTCCAATTTCAATATTATAGAAAAATGCCACAGGTGGATAAAAAGCCAATGCAGGAAAAAAGAGGATCATGAATTTACTTTCACAGTTTAATCTATAACCATTTACTTAAATTTAACTGGCTGTTGTTTTGTTTGTTTTGTTTTGTTTTTAAAAAAAACAATCTTTTTTTTTTTATAAATAAGCAGTGTTAAAAAGTATAAATAAATCAATTTGATTGCAAAAAAGCAACACCATGGTAAAATGCATTACAAATATATTAACACTGAAACCAAAGGTCAGAGCTGAAAGCATGATTCAGATTCGATTTAAGCTAATTTTATTTTAATCTGCATTAATTGAAAATTACAAAAATGTCAAATGTCGTATTTACTTTTTTTTTTTTTTATATTCTTTATTTCTACAATATTACCTCACAAAGATGATTACAGGCATTAATTAACACAGTTTACAAGAGAAAAACGAAACAAAACGAGAAGGAAGAAAGACAGTGAGAAAGAAAGAGAAAAAAAAAAGGAAAAAAATTATATATACGGTATATAAAATAAAAGGAGAAAGCTCTGTCGGGAGTAAGCAAATTAACTAAATTGGTGGTTTCAAGCTTTAAAGAGAAAATTCGGTTTATAGGTATTAACGTAT